ATGGAACACTACATCAAAAACTAATGATGTAATGTATGGTGATTAACATAACAATAAAAAATTAAAATAAAAAAAGATGTGGTATATATACACAATGGAATATTATAAAATGACCTGTGTTCAAGTTCACTGATTCTTTCTTCTGTCTGACTGAGTCTGTTGTTGAATCCATCTGGTAAAGTTTTCAATTCAGTTACTGTATTTTTCAAATCCTGAATTTCTGTTTGGTTCTTATTTTGTTCATATATTGTTTTTCTGATTTGCTTTAGTTCTTTGTCATTTTCCTTTAGCTCTTTCAGCATGTTTAAGACAACCATTTTAAAGTCTCTGTCTAATAACTGAAACCTGTGTCTCTTTAGGGTCAGTTTCTGGAGATTTGTTTTATTCCTTCAAATGGGCAACATGGCCTTGTGATCTGTTGTTGAAAATTGGATATTTGAAAAAAGCAACCAGTCTCTGTCTTTGCAGCTGGCTCTTTGCAGAGAAAGGCCTTCAGTAATCTAACCATATGAAAACTTAAGGTCTCGGGCATGTGTCTTTCCTAGGCCTATGCATATGCTTTTTTCTCAATTTTACCAAATACATTGCTACTTTTTCATGTTTTAATTTCCTTAAAAGTCTCGTATGTGCTTCTTCTTGGGGCCCTAGATGTTATATTGCCTTCCTCTGTCTGTAGTCCGCCCTGTCCCCCCCCTTCTCCGAGGTGGCCATGGTCTACAGTTTCCACTCATTGTGGCATCTGCCACTGCTTTCAGACACCTCCAACTGATATTCAAACTAGGTCACCATTCCTATCTGAGCTCCCAAGTCAGATGAGGCAGAAACCAGTCCTGACAAGCCAGAATGTTGAAACAAATTCCAGTCTTTTCTTCTGTCCCAAGGGAGGGGCTGGGAATCAGGGTGCTTCTCCCGATCATACTTCACAACACCAGAGAGGGGATGGGGCAAAGCTAAACAAAAACAACATAAAATTTCTTACCATTTTGAATATGAATTTTTATCATTTGGACATTTATTGGTTGCCATAGATCCTTGACTATTTCTAGAGTTCCTACAAAGCTATTTTAGTCTGTTGATTACTTGATGTTTCTGTGAGGGAACAAGGGTTACCTGGGAGCTTCCAGGTCTGTCTTCTTGCTTACTTCACCTCTAGAGGTATCTTAATTTTAAAAATAGACTCCCCCAAATATTCAGGAATTAGATTAGTCTCTTGTTCTGTTGTAATAATAATGATAGTAATTTTATTGAGCACCTACTATGTGCCAGGCACTGTCATATACACTTTACCTCTTTAAATAACTAATTTAAACTCTACCTCTGAAACTCTACCTCTGAAACTAATAATACACTATATGTTAATTAATTGAATTTAAATTTAAAAAAATAAAGAAAAAAAAGATCCATCCATTGTTAACATTTTGCACTCCTCCCACACTGTCATTTAAGTATCAGTTGCAGACATTGTGACATCCATAAACACCAGATAAACACCCATAAACACTGGAGTATACATCTGCTATGATCCAAGATATCTTCCTCACCTAACCACAACAGAGTTGTCACACAAGACATCTAACACTGATACATCCATAGACAAAATTCTTTAATTTTTTTTGTTTGAATCCAAAATCCAACAGAGGATCATGCATTGCATTAAGTTTCACGTCTCCTCAATCTCCTTCAATCTGGACTTTTCTGTATGACCACATTTTGGAAATGTCTAAGCCAGTTTTTTGCAGAAGATCCCACAAAATTGGTGTTTCTGACTCTTTCCTCGGGATTACATTCAGTTAAACATTTTTAGTAGGAGTACTAAAAGGACAGTTTGCCTGTCTCAGTGCTTTACATCGGGGGATACATCAGGTTGGTTTGTCCTATCATCAGTGATATTTACAAACACCTTTGCAAGGTGCCTTGTCCCTTTATAGTTAGTAAGTAATACTTATGAGACTGTGTGAGTATCCTGTTCTCTGATTGTATTTCACCCTATGACTTGAGAATCCATTAATGATTCTTAATTGAATTGAATAATATTATGGTCGTTTTATATGATAATTTTCTACATGTTATTCTTTCTACATTTATTAGTTAGCATTCTGTGGCTATTTCCCTTTCCTGTTTAATTGCCTATCTTTTTATATAATTTAGAATTGGTGTGGGACTCATGGATTCTCTTTTGATTTGCTTTATAATGCATGTTCATATAGTCTCTCACCAATAAAATACTAGATTAATCCATCAAGTTCATGTGGAATGAAGAATTAACAGCAATGGCAGAGAGAGTATAGAGAAGCCATGTCATCTGTAGAGCTAAGACATGGCCCATGGGAAATTCAGACATGAGCTTAGCCCTCTGCTATAGGCAGATTTAAAGAGGGATAGAAGGAAAGGAAGAGAATTCCAAGAATGGGCAGAAGGCAGGAGTCAGGAGAAGCCTGTGTGAAGAACAGCCATATTGAAATAGTGAATAGATTTGCAGGAGAGAAAGGTGGAGGGTGGGGATTGCCTTCAGTGTTGGGGAGAGTATGGTGTTTTCCTGAAGAGAGGGTACAGGTGCTGGTGAAGAGAAGAAAAGCGGAGTAGGAAAAGTCGGTGTTCTATGGAACCTGAATAGGTAATAATATGGAAGTTGGGTAGTAGGAAGACTCAGGACAAGGCACCTGGTGGAGAGATGAGAACCCACCTGGTGGAGAGATTAGAACCCAACAGGGGCACATGAAGACTTGAACTAATTGTTGGTGATAGAAGATGGAAGGGAAAGCAGGGAAGTTCAAAGGATAATGTAGTTAAATTTAGATATGCAGAGTGAGGGAGAGGAGATTCAAGATAACACAAGGGACTGACAGAGGAGGAAATGAGATGAGAAAAATGAGATGAGCTGCATCCCTACCTGCATCCCCAGGTAGGGATGCAGCTAATTCTGATGTCAGGGACACTGTCCTACTTACATGCTTAGTCCCAGATCCTGTGTAAAGTAGGATCCACCAGTCTACTGGCCAGATCCATCTAGAGTGGTAGAGGTCAGGGCAGGATTTTCAAATTTCAGTGTCTGTAGGAATTGCTTGGAGACCTTGTTAAAGTGCAGATTCTGATTCGGTAGGTTTGTGATGGGGCATGAGATTTTGTGTCTTAGGTGGTGCTGATGGTGCTGGTCCATGGACCATACTTTGCACAGCAAGAGGCTAAGTGGATTTCTATGCAAATAAGCCAAGCCTGAAATCCAAAATTTCCTTTTTCATTCCCAGGAATAATCTTCATGCCAGGAACAATCCAGTTGAAGGCCAAGGACATTCTCTACCGATTACAAGTGTCCAAAGCCAAGGGCATCGTGACCACAGATACCCTTGCCTCAGAGGTGGATTCTTTAGCTTCCGAGTGTCCTACTCTGAAAACAAAGCTCCTGGTGTCTGACCAGAGCCGTCAAGGGTGGCTGGACTTACGATCATTGATTAAGTGAGTTTCTGTTCTGATGAATGTGCTTTCTAAGGAAGGACAAGAGAAGGCCATTCACTCCCAAGTGCTGGTAGACAAACAACCAGTGGGAGGAGACTCACCAGGTCTGATGGCAGAAACCTTCTCTTCCCAGTTATGCCACTGATTTGCTGTGTGACCCTGGGCTGGTCCCTTCCCCTTTCTTGGATGCAATTGTTTTATCTGTAAAATAAGGGTATTGAACTTCCATGCCTCTGTCACTAAAGTATTATCAACCCTGTGCAAAGGAGATGTATAAAGTCAGAGGGTTGTTGTGTTGTGTCTTCCTTGTAGGTAGGGAATCTGAAATATTATGTTTATATAAAAAATAAATATATGAAGAGGTTGAATGAAGGATTAAGGGATGAATTTTTAAGGGAAAGCTTGAGACTGTAAGAAAAATTGGGGCTATGGCTGTCAGGCAGCTTGAGGAGCAAACACTTTCCATCTCTTAGAGGTTGCATAACTTTACGGACACCTTGCAGGAAAGGTTAGGGAAGTGTTGGAGGTAAGTAAGACCACTTCCACCTCCAAAACTGATTCTGTAGATCTTCAGGCATTTTTCATATCACCCACAAACCATGCTGGGTTTGTTTTCTTGAAGTAACCCCTCAGTTTTTAAAGTCCTTTACTTCAGCCTCAAAAGGCAAATATCACACTGAAGTCACACCTTACACTGGATTTTAAAGTCAGACAATTAAAAGAAAATGGTGTAAATAAAGAATATTCTCTAAAACTCCCTTAAATTGCCAAAATCATATCACAGCAAGAGTCAGTGTGTCCTGCAGCCTTGGGATTATTTGCAGTTTCTCCAATCAAACACCATAGGGAACTTGCATTTATAAGCCCAAGAGACTCCCAGTCTAGGAGAAGTCCCCAAGAATCAAGGTACACTGGGGTACGCTACAGATTCTACCTTCCCTCTGAAGCTTACACCAGGGCAAATGTGCATCCTCATTTTCTCTTCCCCACCCCTCATTGCCAAGATTATGGGGTGAAATTCCTATTAAGTTGGTTCATGTAAAAAACAAGCTTAGCAGTGTGATTAAGAGCATAGTCTTTGGATCAAACTGAGTGAATTTGAATCCTGGCTGGACCACTTGCTGGCTACATGTCTTCAGGTAAGTTATGAAAACCTTTCTGAGCCTCAGTTTTCTCATCCACAGAATGGGAACAGTAAGAGCAGTACTTGCCTTTTAGGGTTGGTCTGAAGATTGAATGAGTTCTTATTTGTAAGTCACTTAGAGCACTGCCTGGAAGTGCTATTTCAATGTTTGTTATGTGCAAAACAACCCACTGTATTTACCCCCTTTTTAAATGAAGACATGTCAGCCTACTTATCTTACTCATTCTCAAACTCCATTTGATTCCTAACACTGGGAGAACTGGTTTCCCCTCCAGTGTTAGAAACCTCCATTTTTCTGACTCCAAGCCTCATATTGTTCCTTTTGCTTCTGTGGGGATGGAAAAGCAGGAAATATGACTTCTCCCTTTTTGTACTGAATCCCTTTGCAGATCAGCCTCCCCAGATCGTATCTGTATTAAGTCAAAGACTCTGGACCCAATGGCCATCTTCTTTACAAGTGGGACCACAGGCTTTCCCAAGATGGCAAAACACAGTCATGGATTTGCCTTGCGATCCTCTTTCCCTTCAAGGTAGGAAGGAAGGCATTGAGTTATGGGCTGGGCCACACATCTGGGGTGGTGTGTGCATGTATGTGAGTGAATGTGTGGGTTGGGAAAAGAGCTCTAAGCAAAATCTCCCTTCTGTGCTCTTTGGTTCAGACTGATGAAAATCTGAGAGGTAAATGCTGGGAATCCTAACCATTTACTGACAGAGGCCTCTGATGACAAAGGAGGCATATTTAGGTCTTGCCTGAGCACCTTGACAGGAGGTGTCCCTGTCAGTTGACTCAGGGTTTGGTGGGGAAGGACAGAATGTGCTAACAATGTAACTTGAAACAACAGGTCCTTTCCTCTCCCCGGTTATGGACAAATGAAATTTGGAGTTACCCAATTATGAGCTGTTAGGGAAAATAATACCTGGAACCAAGGCACACCATGCCACTGTCCCTAATCTAGAACAAACAATCATGGAGGCTGAAGCTGTAGCCTTGGGTTAATCATTTAATCAATTTTAAACTAAGCCTCTTCTCCCCTCTGCCCCTCCCCCAGAATAATATTCAGGCCAAAACAAGTTCTATGTATTTCCTAACTTATTAACAAGGCCAGAGGGCGCCAGGAGGTTTCTGGTGGACCTCAGCTATCTGTGCTGATGCAAAGTTATACAGTGATAACAACTGAATAGCAAAACCCTGGAGGAATGGTGGTGGGAAGAAGGGGAGGGCTTTCTGTGCAGTCTGAATAACAAGAGCAAAGGCACAAAGATATAAAAAGTAGCATTTATAGAACTACTGAGATTTGAGGGTAGCTGGTGCTCAGAGTGTGGGGTAAGGGATAGACGGGAGGAGTTGGAAAAGTAAGCAGGGCCCCAGATCATGTAGGGTCTTTTGGGCTTTAGTGTAGCATTTAGAGGGTTGTTTGTTTTGAGAGAGAGAGGAAGGGGAGGTATTAGAGCAATGCGACATATTTTAGCAAGGGAAAGACCTGATCAGATTTGTGTTTTGAAAAGATCACTGTGGCAGTGCCTGGGTGGCTCAGTCAGTGAAGCATCTGGCTCTTGATTTCCGCTCAGGTCATGATCCAGGGTCCTGAGATCGAGCCCCACATTGGGCTCTGTGCTGAACGTAGAGCCTGCCTGAGATTCCCTCTTTCCCCTCCCCACATACTTCCCACTTGTGCACATGCATGCTCTCTCTCTCAAGAGAAAGAAAGAAAGAAGAAAGAAGAAAGAAAGAAAGAAAGAAAGAAAGAAAGAAAGAAAGAAAGAAGAAAGAAAGAAAGAAAGAAGAAAGAAGAAAGAAAGAAAGAAAGAAAGAAAGAAAGAAAGAAAGAAAGAAGAAAGAAAGAAAGAAAAAGAAAAAAAGATAAAGATAAAGATAAAAGATAAAGATAAAAAAGATATTGTAGCTGCAATATGGAGAATGGGTTGGGAAAAATCAGAATGGAGTTAGACCAGTTGGAAGGTCTTAGAATAATCCAAGATGGTGGTGGCTTGGCGAAGGTGTCAGAGACATGAAGGAAGTTAACATATTTGAGATTTTAGGAGGTGAAATGGACGGGATCTACTGGCTGGATGTGGGAGATAAGAGAGGGACCAGTCAAGGTTGACTCTCAGATTTTGGGCTTGGGCAGTTTCATGGACAGTAATGACATTCACTAAAATACGGAGAACATTGGAGGAGAAAGAATTAGTCCAATGGAGTCAGGAGAGATTAGGATCTGGTGAGTTTGAGGTCCCTGAGAGACACCCCAGAAGAGATGTTCAGTGGGTAGTGGGTCTAACGCTGAGAAGACAGATCCTCCTAGCTAGTAACGTCTCACAGGTGAGCCACAATCCTAAGAGAGCTGGGATAAGGGAGGGTGGATTGCCCTTTCCTATTAATAGTGAAGTTCCTCAAAGCCACCACCTGCTAATGGGAAGGTTGTGTTTTCTCAAGGAGTTATGCACACAGAGGTCTCTCAGAAGCAGTAAGGTAGGGTAGAGAAATGAGAAACCTTCTCCACTCCACCTTCCAATTATTGCCTATTGTCTAATTGTTTCCAGTCCTCTGCCAAGATGGGATATTAAAAATTAAGTCTCTCTCTCACTCTCTCTCCCTCTTCCTGTCTCCCTCTCTCTCTCCCTTTCTCTTTCTTCATCACAAATGACAGAAAGCCCAATCTAAACCTCTTTAAGCCAAAAAATGAGTACAGGAATTTATTGGATCATGAGGCAGGGCACTCCAGGGTTTGGCTTCAGACATAGCTAGGGAGTCTCTGGATTAGGTTTTCATCTCTCCATCTGTCAGGACTGTTTCTGCTGTGTTTTGATGCTCTTCTTGGAAAGGCTTATTATCTCTTGTTATCCCCAAATGGCCAACATCATCTAGGACTATATCAGTAACAGAGTCAAATCCAAGAAGAGGGCTACAGATTTTGTCCCCATATTCCCAGCCTTAAGGATGATTATAACTAAACCAGTTGAAAACACACATGCCAGAAAATAGGACTTGGCGTACTCTAGGGACCTGGTTTGGGAGTGTGTCTGGAGCCCCACTCAAACCACATGCACTGAGAATGAGGGGTGGGTCACCACCTGAAAACCAAAGTCCCCAGCCCTTGATCACATTCTCTCATGATCAATCACATAGCTGAGGCCACTGTATTTTGGAGTTAGCAGGAAATTGCTGCAACTGAAGACATCTGATATCTTCTGGTGCCTTTCGGACACAGGCTGGATTCTGGCTGTCCTTGGGTGCCTATTGGAACCATGGACAGCAGGGGCTACACTCTTTATCCATCATCTGCCCCAGTTTGACCCCAAGGTTGTAGAGCAGGTAAGAAGATTAACCTTCTGGTATCGACAAACTCTTAGAAGAAACTCATGTTTCAAACTCAAAAGCTGGACCCTGCTGAAAAATATTTTATTTAGCAGAGGGTCCCATAAGCACAATATAACCCTGGTTCTGGGTTTCTCAAAGTGTGGAGCACTGAATCCATCACTGTATCTAAATCACATTGGATGAAACCTTGAAGAAAATGCAGATTCCAAGCCCTTCCCCCAGGCCTATGGATTAGATTTTGTGGACTTGGGACCCTGAAACACATTTTAAGAAATTAAAGCAACCAGAGTAAGCTCAGGTATCCTGGATCCTGGATCTGCTAGAGCCAGGTAGCTGGTGTGTGTGTGTGTGTGTGTGTGTGTGTGAATGCGCGTGTGTGTGTGTTGTTGTTGCTCAGTTTATTGAAGTGTTTAAAAACAGAGTCCTTGGAAAATGACAAATCTAGTTTCTTATCCCACGTTCAACATTTATTTGTGGTTTACTTGCTACTCCGAGCCTCAGTTTTTTTATCGGTAAAATGAGAGTTTTAATAATTACTACATCACAAAATTGTTGGAATATAAATTAGATGGTACAGGTGAAGTGTGTGAAGTGCTTAGTCCTGAGCTGGCACACAGGCCCCTCCACCTCTCAAAGTCCAGTCCCCTCCCCACAACCTCTGTGGAGCCTGCTCTTTTCTCTGTCCTTCTCTTAGGAGCCCTTCTCATTAATCTCCCATCCATTAAATCTTTTCTCCTGTATTTTTAATCTCTCACTTTGCCCCTCTTCATTAATCTTTCATTTATTAAATCTTTTCTCCCACAGTTTCAACCTCTTGCTCTTCATTAACTCTGTACCCTTAGTCCATAAACATATTCATGATTCCCCATCCTAAAAAACACCTTCCCTTCACCCTGCTCCACACTGGACCAACCCTGTCTTTCCTCCCTTAGTACCAAACTACTCTATAGAACTTTCTCCACTTGCTGCAGCCACATCCTCTTCACCCAGCTTACTCCTGAACACCGCAGTCCTCCAAGAGTCTGCCCTCACCCTTCCTCTTCCTTCTAAACAATCTCCTCTACTTCCATTTCACCAGCATGCACATCCATTCAGGGGGTTCTTGAAACTATGCCTTAGGTCTAGTCTTCTCCCTCCATGCAAATTCCCCCTTGTTTATCTCCCCCAAGTCCATCTGATGATCCCTCCAGCACATCAGACTGCATTTTCCATTTCTCATTCCCTGCCACATGTCAATATTTGCCTCTCTATCATTGTTTACTGTGCACCTCCTGCCAGTCCTTGAGGCTTAAAGCTGCACACACACACACAAAAAAACCCACCGAATCCACCTTTCCCCCCGCCACCTCCACCACATGAGTGTCCCAAAGTCTCAGTGTGCTTTAAGCTTGAATTATTTCAGAGTATTAATTCTACAAATTTACATACACACACATACCAGCATTTGAAAATTTAATTATTTTGATTTATTTTTCATTTGTTACTTTTGTGATTTTAATGATAACATTTTTAGCTTCAGTTCTTCTTATTGAAGATGAGAGATACTGATTGAAAGAAGGAATGTTAAGTTAAAAATGTACTATCCATTTTTTTTAAATTTTTCAAGATTTTATTTATTTATTTGACAGAGAGAGAGACAGCGAGAGAGGGAACACAAGCAGGGGGAGTGTGAGAGGGAGAAGCAGGCCTCCTGCTGAGCAGGGACCCAGATATGGGACTTGATCCCAGGATTCCAGGATCATGACCTGAGCCGAAGGCAGACACTTAATGACTGAGCAACCCAGGCACCCCCTAAAAATGTACTATCCATTTAACTCAACACAACCCCCCCCAAATAATCCAATTGAAAATGAGCAGAAGACATGAGCAGACATTTCTCTAAAGAAGATGTCTAGATGGCCCAGAGACACATGAAAAGATGCTCTACATCATTCGTCATCAGGGTAATGCACATCAAAACCACAATGAGATATCATCTCACACCTGTCAGAATGGCTAAACTCAACAACACAAGAAACAACAGGTGTTGGCAAGGATGTGGATAAAAAGGAACCTTCATGCACTGTCTGGTGGGAATCCAAGCTGGTGCAGGCACTATGGAAAACAGTATGGAGGTTCCTCAAAAACTTAAAAATAGAATTACCATATGTTTCAGTAATTGCACTATTGGGTATTTACCCAAATAATATGAAAACACTATTTCAAAAGGATATATGCACTCCTATGTTTATTGCAGCATTATTTACAATAGCCAATTATTAAAGCAGTCCAGGTATCCATTCATAGATGAATGGATAAAGAAGATGTGAGATAGATAGATAGATAGATAGATATGATGGAATATTACTCAGCCATAAAAAAAAGAATGAACTCTTGCCATTTGCAACAACCTGGATGGATCTAGAAGGTATAATGCTAAGCGAAATAAATCAGAGAAAGACAAATACCATATGATTTCACTCATGTGGAATCTAAGAAACAAAACAAACAAATACAGAAAAAAAAGAGACAAATAAAAAAATAGACTCATAACTAATCAGAACAAACTGATGGTTACCAGAGGGGAGGTGAGTGGGAGGATGGGTGAAATTGGTGAAGAAGATTAAGAGTCCACTTACCTTGGGCGCCTGGGTGGCTCAGTTGGTTAAGCGACTGCCTTCGGCTCAGGTCATGATCCTGGAGTCCCGGGATCGAGTCCCACATCGGGTGCTCAGCAGGGAGTCTGCTTCTCCCTCTACCCTCTTCCCTCTCGTGCTCAATATTCTTAAGGCTCAGTGACAGTACACACAAGTAAAATAAAAATTTGAAAAAAAAAAAGAGTCCACTTACCTTGATGAGGACTGAGTCATATATAGAATTGTTGAATCACTATATTATACAACTGAAACTATATAACACGGTATGTTAATTATACTGGAAAAAGGATGGAAGGAAGGAGGGAAGGAAGGAAGGAAGGAGGGAAGGGAGGGAGGGAGAGAGGGAGGGAGAGTTGATTGGACTCAGAGAAGGACTGAAAGTGGAGGCAGATTTCCCCCATGTACCCATTACACCTCCCTGTGGTTCTGCGTGGAAGATACAGATATTCTCATTTTACAGATGAGAAAACAGAGTTGCAGAGGAATTAATAACAGGATTGAAGTCGAGCAGGCCGACCCCAAACCCACATTCTCTCCTCTTTAGTGTTCCTTGTTCTCCCAGTGTATCTCCACCCTGATCTGAAACTGAAAGACTCCCACCTCTAGTAAAACAACAGTGAATACCAGACATTTTAGACTCTATATAATCTGGCTCCAACTAACCCCAATCTTCCTAAATTTACTTCTTGTTCCTCTCCTGTCTAAATAAACCATATTATTTGACTTCGCTTAAATGTTTCTTCAACTCTGGAAACTTTACTCCTGTTACTTCTTCTATCTGCAAGAACCACTGCCCCCTTCCTCTGCCTGTAGACACCATTCCATTTGTTAAATACCCCAACTAAATGCCCCCTGTTCCATGAGGTCCCTGGATCACCCATTCAAAAGGAGTATTTCCCTCTGCTATGTTCTCCTTCTTCCAATCTCTCTTATGACATCTACCAATTTCCTTCTTACCATATAAGTCCTGTTTTATCTCCTCTATTACTACCTATTCTCAGTTGGGATGTTATCTTACTCTTGCTTTCTCCCAATAGTGCCTGATGCATGCCATGTACAAAATTCATGCTCAATATAGGTATATTGAAAGAACTAAATAAATAATGGGCTCTCCTTAGAGGGGAGATCAGAATTAAAATGCTAATAATTAACTGATATTTTAAATCTTTATTATAAAAATAAAATTCCTTCTTTTCTCATTTTCTAGATGTTGTTCAAATACCCCATCACCCAGTGCCTTGCTGTGCCATTCGTATATCGAATGATTCTACAGCACAGTTCTACCAGGTATAGTAGAAGTGGTGGTAGCTGGTCATAACAATCTTTGGGTAGGAATTTAAGGAATCCAGGGTACCATTGTCTATTTTTAACTGTGGTTCTTTGAGGGGTGTGTGTGTGGGGGATAAGTGTTGGTGGTGATAATTAGTTCATTAAAGCAGGATTCCAAGATCCAAATGAAACACTCAGTAAGCCTTGCATCATTGTGGGTTTATTCTTTTTTAAACTTTTTCTTATGAAAGGACAAACATACAGAAAAATACATAAGACATAAATGTATAGATTAATGAATTGTTGAAAAACACCTGTGTCACCACTCACTGAGTCAGAAAAATAGAATATTGCCCACACCCCAGAGATCTCTTCATGGCTCTCTTTCTCCCCTAAAGGAATTTACTATCTTGACTTTTATGGTGTTCATTTCCTTGTTTTCCCTTATAGTTTACCTCCTAAGGAAATACCCCTAAACAAATTATCATATTTTACTTGCCTTTGATCTTTATGTGTGTAATCATGTATTACTCTGTAATATTTGGCTACTTTTTTCAGCATTATGTTTTTAAGATGTGTCTACGTCCTGCAGGTTGCTGTAGTTAATTTTCATTGCTGTATAATATCCCATTGTATAAAAATATCATGTGTTTTTTATCTGTTCTACCATTAATGGACACTGGGTAGTTTTCATTTTGGGGCTATTAGTGATTAATGCTGCATTGAATTCTTGTACATGTACACTGGTGCATATAAGCATGCATTTCTGTAGCATTTTTCTGGAAGACGAATTGCTAGTTCACACTGACACGACATTTTACCATGCGATTTTCTTTATTTTTTAAATTTTTTTATTGTTATGTTAATCACCATACATTACATCATTAGTTTTTGATGTAGTGTTCCATGATTCATTGTTTGTGCATAACACCCAGTGCTCCACGCAGAACGTGCCCTCTTTAATACCCATCACCAGGCTAACCCATCCCCCACCCCCCTCCCCTCTAGAACCCTCAGTTTGTTTTTCAGAGTCCATCGTCTCTAATGGTTCGTCTCCCCCTCCAACTTACTCCCCTACATTCTTCCCCTCCTGCTATCTTCTTCTTCTTCTTTTTTCTCTTAACATATATTGCATTATTTGTTTCAGAAGTACAGATCTGTGATTCAACAGTCTTGCACAATTCACAGTGCTCACCATAGCACATACCCTCCCCAATGTCTATCACCCAGCTACCCCACCCCTCCTACCCCCCACCACTCCAGCAACCCTCAGTTTGTTTCCTGAGATTAAGAATTCCTCATATCAGTGAGGTCATATGATACATGTCTTTCTTTGATTGACTTATTTCGCTCAGCATAACACCCTCCAGTTCCATCCACGTTGTTGCAAATGGCAAGATCTCATTCCTTTTTATGGCTGCATTATATTCCTTTGTGTATATATACCACATCTTCTTTATCCATTCATCTGTCGATGGACATCTTGGCCCTTTCCACAGTTTGGCTATTGTGGACATTGCTGCTATAAACATTGGGGTGCACGTACCCCTTCGGATCCCTACATTTGTATCTTTGGGGTAAATACCCAGTAGTGCAATTGCTGGATCGTATGGTAACCATGCGATTTTCCATATTGAAATGCTCCCATTAGCAGGAGAGGAGAATTCCCATTGTTCCATAACATTGGCAATATCTGTTATTGTCAGAGTTTTTAATTTTTGTCAATCTGATGGATACATAGTGTTATCTTACTGTAAAATTTTATTTTTGCATTTCCCCATGTTTGCACATTAATTTCAGCTAAACTGAAATCTCCTCTTTGAAACTTATGGGCATTTATGTATCTTTTAAAGAGTCTGAGATTAAAATGGCTACTTCAAAAATCAGAGTAACATGTCTTAAATATAGAATTAAAATATTAAGGTGTTCTATGGTTACCCTTATGAAGCTAACTCTGAGACACAGTTTTGATTTTATTCATGAAGCCTCAAGCTTTTTGGATCCTGTTTCCATCTGTGTTTCAAAGCTCATATTAAGCTACTTTTTGAACATTCCTCAGTTGATGATCTTTGTCCAAACCCAGTAAAAATACAACCAAAGCATAGCTAATGACTGCGTCAGAGAATCTGCCCATTTTACCTACTTTGGATAGAGCTGCAGAAGAATGAAGAAAACACCCTCAGTGAACTCAGCCCGCCTGTCCCTGACTCTGACTCTGATGTACCAGGACAGGGTGGTGAGGATGAGAAGGTGAACCAGATGTCTGCTACTCCTCTCATCCCCAAGAGCTGACTGGGCTCAGCCCCAGGCCACCTGGTACTCAGACCTCAATCACTTCTCCCCACGTCCTTCAGAGAATCCATCATTATTTTGTGGTTGTTTTTTTATTAGCAGAAAATTTTATGGGGAAAAATGAAGAAGAGGATTTACATCATGCAGTGTACCTACTACAGATGTTCACAGCCAAATTTTCGGCTCTCTGAAATTCTTTCTCTCAGGGCTGCTACCATAACCCTTCTCTCTTTTCCTACATGCATCCCAGTCTTCCTTGATGTCCTGGGCAATTCATTTCTACCCTCTAACTTGCATTCTCTGCTCAGAAATACAAAAGCCCTTCAATTCACATGACTCTAGTCTTCAGAGAAGGCAATGCAGTTCTGTTAGCATCCTAACATGCTCTTGGGATCTTATCCCCCACCACATTACAGTTCATAAAATACCCCTCATAGCCGCAGAGAATGTGAAGACAAGGTCTGATAAATACATCTTTGCCATCTTTTAATGTCAACTTCCAAAGTTGATCCAAACCCATTAGCCTCACCACCACCACCCACCCCTTGGCCAGAAGAGTTAACATGAACTGACAGGAAGTGAGTGACTTCCAGTGGGCTTTGACCACCAGCAAATTGCCCAAAAGGCAAGTAAGAACATGAGGAAGCAGAAGCATTTATGTTCCAGATGACAAGGTTCTGAGCTCTTAACACTCTGGGCCTGGGGCAGAACATCCAAGGCCTGACTGCAAGTTCTCTTGTCCCTTTGCCTTCCCCTAAGTCTCAGGTTCCCTACCCTGGAGCACTGCAGTGCCGGTGGGGAGGCTCTGCTGCCGGAGGATCAAGAGCAGTGGAGAAGACAGACAGGCCTTCTGCTCTATGAGATCTATGGACAGTCAGAAACAGTAGGTAGAAACAGTGCTAGATGGTACTTTCTTGGTCAGTCAGGATGTGCTGAGCCACTGAGCCCAGCAGACAAGCTGAACCGTGTATATGCAGAGGCCTCACTCTGCTCACAGCATTTCCTGAAGCCAATGGGAGGCTTCAGAGTTCTAGGCTAATTTGCCCCAAATCAATTTGCACAAAGGCAATTCACAGCTCATCAGTTTGTCAAGAGGCCAACGTACAGAAAACTATTGGACAAAACTTTGAAAAGGGGTGTAAGGACATGGTGCCACCATCCCTGTGATCATTAGCTCTAGGGAGCCCAGGAGGGGTGGTGGGATGGGAGGTTCTCTCCAGTAACATGGAGCCCACCATCTGCAAGTGCTGCCTGCTTCATCCCTTCCTAGGGTGGCAACCACAGGCAGCCAGGAGCTGGCCCCAGAAATTCATTTCTGGGTGTTCATGTGGACAGCACACAGGTTTGATTGTGGGACACTAGCTAGAGTGGGGGAGGGAGCAGAGACTTTCTGTATATACCAACACACACACACACACACACACACAAACAGTGACTCCCAAAGGCATCACTGACTAGCCAGGTGACAGGGCATTCAGAGTATCAGGCATGTCTTGAACCACAAAAATGTTATTGATGATAATAGGGGCAGGGGCAGGTATCTTTCTTCCAACACAATTCTCAAGTCATTTCTGTTGCTGGGCAGAGCCACTTTCCTCAGCCTCCTTGTTCTCCCTGTAACTGACAGGCAGATGACTACCATCTCAGGAGCTGGAGCAAAATAACTATTTTTAGCCTCAATTCACATACTTGTCTGACTTTTTTGCAAAAACATATGCTTTTAAATCATCAGTTAATTGGTCTTCTTCCAGGCCTGAGAAATATTAAGACTCTAGGTTTGTCTTCATAGTTTATATTTGGACAAGGAGGAGGGTGGGATGAGAACTACACTATACCCATGACCCAGGTTCCTTTGTATCAACTATTTGCAACAACAGAATACTGCCTTATGCTCGGGTGGTGCTGTATTTCACAAAGTATTTTCATAGCCACTGACTCATCTATGGAACATTTTCCACATGCTTGTACTGTGAGCAGCAACATAGCAAAGGCTAAAGAGCTTTCCCTCTCAGGAACTCAGACCCTGGTTCAAATCTCAGCTTGCCAATTACAGGCTTCAAGACCATTGGCATAGCACTGAACCTTCCAGAGAGTCTCTGCTTCTCTGTTTCCAGAATGGAAATATAACCCAATCTCGGTGGGTTGTGTTAAGGGAAACGAAAGGAAGTATATAAAGCTCTGGCTACAATGTCCAACCCCTTGTACATGCTCACCTTACCATTACTCTTGTTTTTAAGTAAGTGTTGCCCTAGATGCTAGGATAGTAGAGATGAATGGGGCAATCTCTATTCTCAGGATGCTTGTTATCCAGTGAGGGAAACAGACAAGCAAAAATAAGTATAATTGGGAGCTCCCAGTTGGCTCAGTGGGTTGAGCTTCCGACTCTTGGTTTCAGCTTAGGTGGTGATCTCATGGGGCGTGGGATTGAGCCCCCACATAGGGCTCCATGTTCAGCGGGGAGTCTGCTTAAGACTCTCTCTCCCTCTGCCCCCCAAACCCCATTCAAGCACTCTTGCGCTCTTTCTCTCTCTCTAAAATAAATGGATAAATATTTTTAAAAAAGGAACTATAATGCTCTGTTGGCTACAATGGAAGTGTGGGAAAAAATACTACAGAAGGAGAATCTCCCAACTGACTTTTCTTGGGGCCAGAATAATAGCTAGTTGTAACTGTTTATGGAACTAACTTGGTGTGCCAGGCACTGTGTGAAGAGTTTTCCACACACTCACAGGTACTATGAGAGCTAAGTGTTATAATTACCTCCCTTTACAGAGAAGAAGATGAAAGGGGATTAATTGGCACATAGCTGGAGTCAAGATTCAAATCCTTGGGTGGCTCAGTCGGTTAAGCATTTTTTTTTTTTTAAAGATTTTATTATTTATTCATGAAAGACAGAGAGAGAGAGAGAGAGACAGAGAGAGAGAGGCAGAGGGAGAAGCAGGCTCCCAAGGAGCAGGGAGCCCGATGTGGGACTCGATCCCAGGACCCCGGGATCATGACCTGAGCCGAAGGCAGACGCTTAACCATCTGAGCCACCCAGGCGCCCACAGTCGGTTAAGCATTTGCCTTTGGCTTGGGTAGTTGTCCCGGGGTCCTGGGATTGAGCCCCGCGTTGGGCTCCCTGCTCAGCTGGGGAGTCTGCTTCTCCTGCTCCCTCTGCCCCTCCCCCTCCACCCCTGCTCTGTCTCTCGTTTTTCTCTCTCTCAAATAAACACACAAAATCTTAAAAAGAAAAAAAAAAAAGATTCAATCCTGGTCTGGCTTAGCTTTAGAAAGCTATTTTAGAGTACCGTAAAGGAGGAATAAAGTTCATCAGGAAGATAAATGGGGGTGGGGCAGTTGCCTAGCAGAGGGGACAACACAATCTGAATATTCTCAGCACAGCTCTGAGTCATTGAGACAGGGTTCCTATCACTGTTTAACAGCCTGAGTCAATGTTAAATGATATCATGGCCTTCCTGTAGCAAACAGACACATGTCTGACATACAGTGCGTACTCCACACCTCACATTACATTCCCACAGCCCCGGGCTCACCCCTTTGCTTCTTTTTTGGCCCCTCCCACTGGACCCGGTAGCCCCAGGAGCTAGAGTTCTTTGCATAGCATCCAATGACATGGATGAGTGAGGGTGCTGTGTGTGGTTCTTAATGCTTTGTAATCAGCCTGGACTCTTTGACCAACCCCATTTTCTTTCTTTTATGAATAGGGAGTAAGTTGTGGCACTCTCCGTGGAATGAAGATCAAGCCAGGTTCCATGGGGAAAGGCATCCCCCCCTTCGACGTCCAGGTCTGGTCCTAAAGGCATTTGCTGGGTGCAGTTAGGGCTCAGCTGGGATTGGACGATTGTGGGACACCAGGTGACAGAACCAGCTGTGCCCATCCCACCCTACCCCCACCCTAGTTGTTGTCCTTCTCTCTCTCCTCCTGTTTTCCCTCTGATTTCCTGGGGAGGCTTCGGTTGAGAACTGCAGTATCCTGGGCATGAATGCTGCTCAGCCTGGCAGCCGGAAGCCTCACACACAACAGATGGGACCAGAGCACCTGGAGGGAGCCCTGGCAGCTCTCTCCATCAGCTGGTGCTTCTAGTTTTCCCTGATCTGTGTTTTCTAGCTTGAAGACACGTTTGCTACGTCTGCATATCCATGACACCAATAGACCCATAACTTGGGTTTCACCATTTCCTGACTTCAAAGTCTTCTGACAGCTGTAATCTATTTTCCGACAGGGTTCCTCCCCCCATTTATTCCCACCAGTGTCACACGAATAGTCAGGTACTGTGTGGGTGGGGCAGGCGTGTTGGGGTGGTCCTGCAGGGTGGGATTCACAGGCCTGTTGCTCCAGATCATTGACGACAAGGGCAACAGCCTGCCGTTCAACACTGAAGGCAACATTGGCATCAGGATGAAGCCCACCAAGCCCATTGGCCTCTTCATGGGCTATGAAGTAAGTGGTGATCCTCACCTGCCCACTTCCAGGCCCTCAAAATCCCTTCAGGGAGCTGTGTGGGTGCTAAGGGGGTGGATTCAACTCTGCACAACGAGCCTTCTTCACACCTCCCTTCAGTCACTCCAACTCAATGAAGCCTCTTCTAATTAATCTCTAAGCTCCTAGTGTGTTCTCACATCCTTTCCTGTCCGAAACCATCTGACACTTAAGTGCTGACAGGGTAGAAAGAAGCACCCCAGACTTGGGTTCCAGTGATCTCTTTTTTGTTTTGTTTCCTTTTTTTTTAAAGATTTTATTCATTTATTTGACAGAGACACAGTGAGAGAGGGAACACAAGCAGGGGGAGTGGGAGAGAGAGAAGCAGGCCTCCTGCTGAGCAGGGAGCCGGATGTGGGACTCAATCCCCAGACCCTGGGATCATGACCTGAGCCGAAGGCAGACGCCTAACAGCTGAGCCACCCAGGTGCCCCTCCAATGATCTCTTGAGGTTGAGTATGCAAGAAGCTTTGACTGAGTTCAAATCTTACAGTCCCACTTACCAACAGGCTGTGCACAAATCTGTTAACCTTCCTGAGCCTCCAGAGAGGACAGGGGTGCCCCCACTTCACAGAGGAAGAAACTGCAGATTGGAAGCTTTGTATGTTTTCCCCACGTCAAATAAATGGCAGGTCTAGGATTCAAACCAACATCTTTTTGGTTCCCAAACCCTACATAAGAAATCCAGGGATTACATAAAACTGTGACAGGCTCTAAGGAAACCGGAAACTCTTGACCAGGCAAATTCTCAGCTTCCAAGATTGGTCAGGGGAGAGTGGACAGACCTTGAAGCTGATCTCAGACCCGTTTCCTTTCTCCACAGGAACAACCAATGGTGTCACTGTTGGCCTCACTCTGTGGCCTTGGGGGTGGGTGGTGCTGCTCCTTTTGTGATGTTATTGACCAAAAGCAAATATGCAGGCCCTAGCCTTAATCACAGTAGCACGATTTTAGGCTTGGATAAAAGAGAAAATAGAGGAACAGATACATAGATCAGTGGTTCTCAATCCTGCCTGTATGTTAGAATCAGTTGAGGAGATTTAAAAAAAAATAACTCTTGGATCCAACCATAGAGATTCTGGTTAAATTAAACTGGGATGGTCCAGAGCAACATCATTTTTTTTTTTAATTGGAAATAACATATTTTATTTTACAAAGATGTCCTCCGCTATGCCCACACCTATGTAGATATATACCTCACATGCCCTCTTGACTATATGTTGTCACTCCTCCACTGAGATTTATTTGCTTTTTTCCTTTCTTTTCTTTTACTGAGGTAAAATATATAAAATTTACCCTTTTCACCATTTTTAAGCATACAATTCAGCAGCACTGAGTAAATCACAACATTGTACAATTACCACCATGCATCTGCAGAAATTTTTTCCATCCCAAATGGAGACTCTGTTCTCATTAAACTATAACTCCCCCCCTCTTCCTCATATCCCCAGCATTTGGTCACCTTTAATATACTTTTTGGCTTTAAGAATTTGCCTATTTTAGGCACCTCTATTAAGTGGAATTGTACAACATTTGCCCTTTTGTGTCTGGCTTATCTCCCCTAGCACATGTTTTCAAGGTTCATCTGTGTTGTAGCATGTGACCAAATGTCATTTTTTTTCAGGCTGAATGGTATTGTATGGGTGTACCATATTTTGTAAATCCATCAATTTCTTAATAGACATTTAGATTATTTCCATCTTTTGGCTACTGTGAATAATGCTGCAATGAACACTGGTGTGCAAGTATCTGTTTGAGTTCCTGCTTTCACTTCTTTTGGATATATACCTGAAAGTGGAATTGCTGCATCCTATGGTAATTCTATATTTAACTATTTTTTTTAAAGATTTTATTTATTTATTTGACAGAGAGAGAGAGACAGCGAGACAGTGAAAGAGGGAACATAAGCAGGGGGGAGTGGGAGAGGGAGAAGCAGGCTCCCTGCTGAGCAGGGAGCCCGATGTGGGGCTTGATGCCAGGACCCTGGGATCATGACCTGAGCCGAAGGCAGACACCCAATGACTGAGCCACCCTGGCACCCCTATATTTAACTTTTTGAGGAACTGACAAAATATTTTCCACAGTGGCTGCACCATTTTATATTTCTATCAGCAATGTACAAGTGTTCCGGTTTCTCCATATCCTTGCTAATCCTTGTTATTTTCAGGTTTGTTTGTTTTGTGTGTATAATAGTCATTCTACCGCATGTGAATTGGTATCTCATTGTGGTTTTGATTTCCAACTCCCTAATGACTGGTGATGTTGAGCATCTTTTCATGTGCTTATTGGCCATTTGTGTACCTTCTCTGGAGAATTGTCTATTCAAGTCCTTTGCCTATTTTTAAAATTGGGTTGTTTGTTTTGTTTTGATTTGTAAGAACTCTTTATATATTCTGGATATGAACCCCTTATAAGATATATGCTTTGCAAATATTTTCTTCCATTTATTGCATTGTCTTTTCACTCTTTTGATAGTGTCCTTTCAAGTAAAATTTTAAAAATTTGATGAACATTTTATCTATTTTTTTTCTTTTGTTTCCTGTGCTTTTGGTGTCATAGTCAATTAATAATTGTCAAATCCAAAATCATGAAGACTTCCCCCCATGTTTTCTTCTAAGGGTTTCAGAATTTTAGCTCTTATGTTTAGGTTTTTAATCCATTTTGAGTTAATTTGTGTATATGGTGTATAAGGTAACTGCATTCATTTGCATCTGAACATCCAGGTTTCTCAGTGCCATTTGTTGAAAAGATGGACTTTTCCTACTGAATGGCCTTGGCATTCTTGCCTAAAATCCATTGAAAATATATGTGAGGATTTCTTTCTGGGTTCTCTATTTTATTCCAATCATCTATGTGTCTTTTTTTTTATGCCAGTATCACAGTGTTTTGATTACTATAGTTTTGCAGTAAGTTTAAAAATCAGGAGTGTAAGCTCTTCTCCCTGGAAAGAAGAACTTTCTTCTCCCTTTAAAAGATTGTCTTGGCTATTTGGGATCCGTCAAGATTTCATATGAATTTTAGGATGAGTATTTCTATACCACTGAGATTTTTTTTTTTAAGATTTTATTTATGTATTTGAGAGAGAGAATGAGAGAGAGAGAGAGCACATGAGAGGGGGTAGGGTCAGAGGGAGAAGCAGACTCCCCTCTGAGCAGGGAGCCCGATGCGGGACTCGATCCCGGGACTCGATCCTGGGACTCCAGGATCATCACCTGAGCCAAAGGCAGTCGCTCAACCAACTGAGCCACCCAGGTACCCTCACTGAGATTTTGATAGGGAGTGCATTGAACCTGAAGATGGCTTTGGGTAGTATTATCATCTTAATATTAAGTCTCCGATTAATACAGTATGTCTTTCCATTTATTGATACCTTCTTTCATTTCTTTTGGCAACAATTTTTATTTTTCAGTGTACAAGTCTTTCACTTTCTTGACTAAATTTATTTTTAGTATTATATTCATTTTGTTGCTATTCTAAATAGAATCATTTTTGAATTTCTTTTGTCTGTATAGAAATTTTTCTGTTTTTTAGTTCTTTGTTCATTTTTTCTCTTAGTTTTTGATCACATTTAACATGTTTGACTTATTGTTATTATTTCTTCCAAGTTTTTATTTAAATTCCACTTAGTCAACATACAGTTTGATATTAGTTTCATGTATAGAATTTAGTGATTCATCACTTACATACATCAGCCAGTGCTCATCATAATGAGTGCATCCTTAATCCCCATCACCTATTTCACCCATCCCCCTGCCCCTCCCCGCTGGTTACCATAACTTTGTTCTCTACAGTTAAGAGCCAGTTTCTTAGCTTTCCCCTCTTTTTTCCCAATGTTCATTTGTTTTGTTTCTTAAATTCCACATATGAGTGAACTCTAGAAATCAGATTCTCCTACTTCCCTGGGGGTTGAGGTTGCTGGGGTTTCATTGTTTTGTTTTTGATTTTGGACTGTTGAAGGCTATAGGAGTCCTTTGTTGTGGTACTTTTGCAAATTCTTTAAAGACTATAGTTTGTCATGTGTGATTACTGAGGTTTCTGATCCTTTCGCTCATGTTCAGTTAATGTTTTGACAGAGATTTCCTTGAGTGGCAGGAGCTCAAATGAACAAAGAAAAATATCACCAACCAAAAAGGAGAGAGAACAACCACTGTGCAGATTGGCTCTGTGCTAGGATACTCCTTCACCACTTAGCTGGATTTGCTCTGAGCCTAGGGATCAGCCTGAGATAAAAGCTTAAAGTCTTCTCAGGACTTTGCTGAGCATGCATCTTGCCCAGGCATGTTCCTGGCTGTCTTAATTCCCCCATGCACATAGCTGTCTTGAACATCTTAATTTCAAAAAAAAAAAAAACCAAGAAAATAAAACTCACTCCACCATCTCCCCCAGACCTTGATGGTCTATTGTATATCTCCACCTATAATCTCTTACCTCAGGCAACTTCACTTTTGTAGTTTGCCTGGTAGCTTCTATGAGCAGTGCCTGCTGCTTTTTTCTGAGTTATATAAAGTGAGTACCTTGCACCTGTCCTTCAGGGAGCCCCCCAGATAGGTTAGAACAGATGCACACAATAATCATTATTTTACTTTAAAACATCTGTTTTTGGGGGCACCTTAGTGGCTCAGTCATTAAGCATCTGCCTTCGGCTCAGGTCATGATCCCAAGGTCCTGGGATCGAGCCCCTCATCGGGCTCCCTGCTCAGCCGGAAGCACTGGCTGCTTCTCCCTCTCCCACTCCCCCTGCTTGTGTTCCCTCTCTTGCTGTGTCTCTCTCTGTCAAATAAATAAATAAAATCTTTTAAAAAAATAAACCATCTGTTTTTTAAAAAGTTAATCGGTATCACAAGTGGAAAACAGTATGATTTGCCAAAAACAGAAGGCAATTATAACTATAACTATAATGCAAACAAAACAATTTTTCTTGAATTCTAGCTAAACCCTGTTCCCACTAAAAGCTCCAGTCCTGAAACTTACTCTTGGTAGTTCCAGAGCTTTTAAAAACATGTCAGAGAGTCTCCTTAATACAATCAGAACAATTGAAAGGGAACCTAAAATGGGATGTCATTCAATGTTTTTTTTTTTTTTCCTGGACCCTTTTCAAATCATTTTATGTTTCATGAGAGGGATGATCTCAACACATTGCTTAATGGTTGAGTACAAAGGCTGTGGAGCAAGAATTAAATTCAAATACCAACCCTACCACTGACCAGCTGAGTGACTTTGAGTGAGTTATTGTGCTTCTCTGAGCATTCATTTCTTCTGTTATGGCCTATAAAAATCTAGCTTCACATAAAACCTGCACGTGAATGTTGAGAGCAGCTTTATTCACAATAGCCCCAAACTGGAAACAACCCAGATGCCCTTCAATGGGTTGACACCCAAACTGTGGTTCATCCATAACATGAAATACCATTTAGCAGTAAATATAAGAAGCTGGATGAATTTCCAGAAAATTATACTGAGTGAAAAAAATAAAAACAGAGCTAGTCCCAAAAGGTTACATACTGGGGCGCCTGGGTGGCTCAGTTGGTTAAGTGACTGCCTTCAGCTCAGGTCATGATCCTGGAGTCCCTGGATCCAGTCCTGCATCAGGCTCCCTGCCCAGCAGGGAGTCTGCTTCTCCCTCTGACCCTCCCCCCTCTCATGTGCCTTCTCTCTCTCATTCTCTCGCTCTCTCTCAAATAAATAAATAAATAAAATCTTTAAAAAAAAAGGTTACATACTATAGGATTCCATTTATGTAACATTCTTAAAGTGACAAAATTATAAAACTAGGGAATAGATCAATCCCTGCCAAGGGCTTAGAGATTTTGAGGGAGGGAAAAGATGAGGGAGATGGGTGTAGATATAAAAGAGCAACACAGGAGATCCTCAGGATGACGGGAGTCTTCTGTAACTTGACTCTGGTGGTGGATGCACATTTGATAAAATACACGTAGACACACACAAAAAAGTAAAAGTAAACTGCTGGGAGATCTAAGTGAGATTGGTGGACTGTAGCAATGTCAATATCCTGGTTGTGATATTGAACTGTAGTTTTGCAAGATGCTACCATTGGAGAAAACTGAGTAAATGGCACACAGGATCTCTCTGTGTTATTTCTTATAACTGCATGCAAATATATAATTATCTTTTTTAAAAAGATTTATTTATTTATTTATTTGAGAGAGAGAGAGAGAACATATATGCATGCATGTGTGCATCAGTTAGGGAAGGGGCAGAGGGAGACAGAGAATCTCAAGCAGTCTTCACGCTGAATGTAGAGCCCTACGCAGGGCTCGATCTCACGACCCTGAGATTATGATTTCCTGAGCAGAAATCAAGAGTTATCCGCCCAACCGAATGAGCCACCCAGGTACCCTGCAAATATACAATGATCTTAAAATAAACAATTTAATTAGAAAAATAAAAGCCTTGTAGGTTTTCTGGGAGGATCAGATGAGGTAGTATTTTGGGAAGGAAATTCATTTAACAGAAGTTTATTGACACCTCTCATTTGTCCAGGCACTATGTGAATGCTAAGCTGAGAACAATAAATAAAATACACAGGGTCCATATTCTAGTGGAAATTTTATTCTACTAGAGCGCCACACAAAAGTGAGTTGTTACTTTAAAAAATTATCCTTAAAATTGGCTCAATATTGTCCACTAATTGACAAGTAGTGTTCATTGAGTACTTGGATATAATGAAAATAGACTCAGAGAGATTATAAAACTTGCCCAGGTGCCAAGTAGAGCCAGGAGCGGGATCCAGACCCAGATCTGAGCACCAGGTTGTGGCTCATCATCTCTAAACTCATTGCCTTCAACAAAGGGGTGTTGTTGTGTTTGCAGGACAACCCAGTAAAGACAGCCGAAGTGGAGTGTGGGGACTTTTACAACTCTGGAGATAGAGCAACTATGGATGAAGAGGGCTACATCTGGTTCCTGGGGAGGAACGATGACATCATCAATGCCTCTGGGTAGGTATAGCTGACCCGAGCTGGGAGGCACCACCTTCACATGCCTCATGGGATTAACTTGTTCTGACATTCATCCAAGCTTGGTGATGGTTAGCTCAGGCTAACTCTGAACAGAGCTCTGTTTATGGGGCCCTTTTCTGGGGATACCTGTGCACCACCCCCAAGCCCTGCATCCAGAAAAGTCTATCAAAATGTAGTTCAAGAAGGTCTGCAAGGCGAACCATAATAAGACATTATGCAATTTAAGGGATTTGGAAGGAAGATGTTACTTAGGCCCTTATTGGTTGAGGAAGTTCCTCTATGTTTGGCTCCTCTAATGGGACACAACAATAACTGAAAAATTTAATGATAGATAACAACAACATAAACCTTTATGGGGCACTTACTATGGGGACGCACACTCTGCAGTGCTTTATATAACCCGGCTCTCAATGCTAGAAGGTAGATGCAATTATGCCCGTTTTACAGATGAAGGAACTGGGTTACTGACTAGTGAATAAAGTTCCCTAAAGTTTCAAAGAGTGCTGGGTACAACCAAGATTTACCAAAGCTGTCTGGCTCCAAGTCAGTTGTCCCTAAACTTTACGTGATTTGGAAAGAAAAAAAAAAATGACCCATTATACCAGAGTAACAAGTTCTCTTGGATATTTCAGGGAAGTTGAGTGTGTTTACTTTTTAAATTTCTAAAACATGCTAATATAATGGGGAAGAGTATGCAGAATTTGCATGAATGTTTAAGATAAAGGCTGAGGCTTCTACTAGGTTTCATGCCAAGGGAAGCTGCTTGAGCCCAGCTCCAGAGCTCAGGGAGGACTAAACATTCACCCTCCTCCCTGAGCAGAGGCAGTGAGGTGAGAAACTCTGGGGAGCATGTGAGTGTTGTATTTCTCAGCACGGAGTGCCCATTCTTCATGTTTGGGGCCCATGACAGAGCCAGGGCACAGGTATATGGCTTCCTGCGACAGTTATCCTATGTGGCAAGGGACGAGGTGACCCTCTAAAACATGAGACTTGAGGGCCTGGGTCACCCTGCCCTGGGCAGCCACTCAGAAACCAAGAAGGAGCCATTGATCCTGCAGGTACCGCATCGGGCCTGCAGAGGTGGAGAATGCCCTGGCCGAACACCTGGCTGTGGCTGAATCAGCTGTGGTGAGCAGCCTGGACCCGATTCGAAGGGAGGTAAGGAGGAGGGCACAGAGGTCATCGTGTCTGTGTGTGGGCACTAAGGCAGGTGCTGGGAAACCTTCCTCCTGGTCCTGTCTCTCCAACCTTGGACCTAGGGTGGAGGGTGGGCCCGTGGGTGTGCATGTGCATTTACACTGTGTGGCCACCAGAGAGCAGTGTGGCCTCAACGGTGTGTGACAGAAAATGATGCTTGTGAATGTGGCTTGCTGCTAGGACTACTGCTGCCCATCTCCTAGTTTCTGAGCCCTTCCTACCTGCTGGTTCATTTCCCCTTCACAGCAACCTCATTAATTAAGGACTCTGAGACCCCTTTTTTACAGGGAAAGAAACAAGCATAAGGACATTAAATACGTTGCCTGATCACAAAGCTGTTAAGTGGTGGAGCCAGAATGAGAATCTGAGCAGTCTGGCTCCAGAGCAAGCATTCATTGATTCACTGTGTGCTGAGCACCTACTATGGACAAGGCCCTGTGCCCTGTAGAAGCGACATGAATAATAGGAACATAGTTAATGACCACCGTTGATTTAATGCCCACAGAACTCTACCTATAATAATCGTGAAAAGGGTGATGATAATGCTAGGAATAAAAATCAGTTTAAATGAGTTTCATGGTTTATATGAATCATCTCGATGAATCTTGGCATCCATGCCCTGAGGAATGAAGCGTGCTGTCCCCATATCACAGAGAAGGACATGGAGGCTGAGAGAGGTGAAGTAATTTTCCAAGGCAGAGAGTAGAAATTGGAAGTATGGACACTGGTCCTGTTCTTTTCCAGAGGCTCAACTGTCAAATTGTTTTTCCATTTACTTAACACACATTTACTTTTTAGACTATGCACTTGGTTGCCACTGCCCCTGAGCCTCCACTCTGGTTCTGCGCTGCAGGCGGTGAAGGCATTTATTGTCCTGACTGTGGAATTCATCTCCCATGATGGGGACCAGCTCATGGAGGAGCTGCAGCAGCATGTGAAGTCAGTGACAGCCCCGTATAAGTACCCCAGGAAGGTGAGTGAGGGCAGAGGGATGGGATCTGGTCCCCTCCAGTGGGCCCTGGCCTCTGCTGCCCCAAATCTCGTAGGGTGGCTGGGGTGGAGCTTATGTAGCCCATGGAGTGAGCATTTTTCTCTACCGAAGAAGCATTCAACTTAGGGGTTTAGGGGAGATCCATCTTAATCATGGAAACCTCTATCCTGTGTCAGAAAACAAAAAGGCTGACAAAAAACCTACAGAAAAAAATCAGCCAAGAGCCTAGAAATATCCAAGAAGGTTATTTGAAATCTTTCACAATTTGAAAAAGACATTCAAGTCAACAACTGCCACACTTTTAAAAAACATTATTTGTAGTAAGAAATATATTCTAAATTGAAGCCCAGTACATATATAGATACATAACAAACAAAAGTTAACAAAATAATATTTATTGTAGCATAAAATACATTCTGAGAGGTTTTTTTTTCTACCTCATTTGTTTTCAGTGCCATGTGTGAACTATGAAAATGTCCAACAATAGAGAAATGATTAAATTATTCGTGGTAATTAATGCTGTCCTATAATTTAAAAAGATGATGCAGATCTCTTATTTGTAACATAAAAACATCACAAAAATATATTATTAAGAGAAAAAAGCAGGCTGTGAATAAATATACATGTTATCTGACTTGTTGAAAAACATTTGCAAGGATACATGGGTCAAAAATTTAACGTGTCTTTCTTTTGTAATAATACATTGCTGTGCTTTCTGAGTGTTTACCTTTGAGACATAAAGGTAGAGAGCTAATATTTATTGAACATTTACTATGTGTGTCCGGCTTGGGACTCAAAGCTTTCCATGAATTATGATTTCCTTTAATCCCCCCCAAACCTGAGATGGTATAACCATCCATTTGACAGAATGGAAACAGGGGAGGCTCAGAGACTCACAGCAACTTGCCTGAGGTTGGAGTGAAGAAAAGGGCAGAGCTGAACTCCAACGCACGTGTATCTGACGACAGAGTCCATGCCTCGCATGTAAGGCTCTGCTGCCTGCTAGAGAGTAGACTGGAGGATGCATGCCAGTTAGGATGGGCTGATGTTACTGTGAGTAACTAGTAGCCCCTCGTCTTAGTGGCTCCTACTAGGGAAGTATCTTTGTTGCTCCTGCCACATGTCCGCACGGTCTTCCTGGGAGCAGGATAAAAGAGCACCCACCATAGGTAACTGCCAGGTGCTAGAGGAGATGGACAGAGGGGGTGCCACATCCAGTTGTCCCAAGGGTTCTGTTCGAGGTGGCACACCTCACTCCCACTCACATCTCACTGGTCAGAGCACGTCACAGGGCTGCATCCAACTTCCCGGGTCAGGGGACACTCTGACATGCCTTCGTGAAGCCTACTGGGGCCACCACATGGTGCCAGCCCATCGGGGGGACTGTGCAGGGGCAGAGGAGGAGCCTGGGGCATTGGTAAGAAATGACAGCAGGACTAAGTCGGGATGGGTTCGCTTTATCCTCGATCAGGTGGAATTTGTCTCAGAGCTGCCCAAAACCGTCACTGGCAAGATTAAAAGAAGTGACCTTTGGAAAAACGAGCTTGGTCAGATGTAATCAGCAAAACCCTCAGAAACCACTGTGTCTTCTTCGCCAAATCCCTGGCTATCCCAGTTTCCTCACTATGGGGAGGGTGAGGAGGGGAGTGCTGGACATTGATTTTAAGAGCATCAGGAGTGCCCACATTCCAGCATTTTTGTTCTTTTAAATTACTATCAGTTACTCTCCTGCTTCCAAGTCCCCAAGTGAGCGCTCAGTATGTGGCTGGGATAATAAACTGACATCAGCATCCAAGGGGACTTGTGTTCTGCTTTTATTCTGTGAGTGAACTGGTGCTAAATGCTGTCCCTTCATGATTCTCCCCAAGCCCCATCGGAGAGGACTCTGGGGCCAGATTCTCCGTCCTGGTTCCAGGGGCCCTGGGTGACTCCTTCTGTCTGTTCAACAACCAGAACACAGAGGTCTGGGGAGGGACCCTTCCTTGGCTCCAGGTGTCCACCTCTGCCTGGCTTGCCCATGCCCTGCTGGAGGGTGAGGTCGGGGCCAGAGTTAGTGAGGTGGCTGGGAAAGGGGGAAGGGGCCGAGGCAGCCCAGCCTGGTGATTCCACTTGCCTGCCAGACCATTCCTCACCGCTCCATCCAGCATCCCATGGATCTGCTGCCTCTGTATGCTGCTGCTTCCAGGTCCCAGCCTGCCCCAGCTTAGGTGTGGGAGGGATCTGCCCTGTGGGGACCCAGGAATCCTGCAAGACTCCTCCAGCCCTTTCCAGGGGTGTCCAATCCCCCATTCCTTCCATGGAGCCCAGGAGCTCCGTTCCGCAGCCCTCCGTAGGGTCCCCCAGTCACTCACCCTTCCCCAGGGCCCAGGAATCCCTCAGCCTCCCCAGGGGCCTGGAGCTCTCCCCACGCTTTAGGAGGTCCTCCTGCCATCTGGAGCCCGAGAGATGATGTGTGCAAAGGGCAGGGCTTAGCACAGGCCTGAAACAGGAGGGACCTGTGGTTGTTACCAGTGTTGCCTTTAACAGCTGTGAGACGTGAGGCACTGGATCTGGGAAGACACTTGCCCCATGGAGACGATGATGCTAATGTCCATAGGTGCTCAGCACGTGGCTTCCTCTTGTCCTCAGCACAGTTATGGACACAGGCTTGGATGCCCCCAGCTCACTGAAGGAAACCAGCCCAGGGTCACACAGCTGGTAAGCAGCACAGCTGGATCTCAAACTCTAGGCTCCCGGCCCTGTTTCCAGGGGCCACGAAGGGCTTCGAAGACGGGAGGCTGACACGGGCTTTGGGGACACTTCCTCACCTCCATGAGTGATCTCACCTGTTTGAGGCCCCGAAATTCTGTTCACTGCTTCTTCTTTCCCTACCCCCTGTTCCAGTTATAATCAGGGTGACCCTGGCCATCCTTCCTGGAATTCCCTAGTCCCCCTTATAGGCTGGGCCTCTCTCCCGTTCACTTTTGGGCTAGTCTGACTCCACCCCTTCTGTGGCTGGTCTCTCTATAACCAGGACCACCCAACTCTGGGGCTCTTGAGGCGGACAGCAGCATCTAAACAGAATTTAATACAAATGTTTTCTTATACTTGTTTTGTTTTTGTTTGCGTGTTTTTTATGATTTCTTGATATTTATGTTAAAGATATTGCTTTCCTATTTTAGCAGTGCTAGAATGGTTCCTGTTTACAAGAAATTTACACAATAAGTGGTGGTTTGTAGAGCATTGATTTTCAGCTGCCTTGGGCCTGAATGAGTTGGGGAAACATTGTGTTAGTCCTAGAGAGAAACAGTTTAGGAAGTTCAGCTCAGGACAGGGCCCAAGAGAGATGATCACAGCGGGTTTGTCTAGTCACCTGGGTCCCTGGCCCTGCCCACCTGCTTGGCTCTCCCCGCCCAGCACGCCTGGAGCTGCAAGCTCTCTGGGT